TAACTTTCTTAATACTGCAGTGTGCTCCTGGTCAGATTTGCCAATACGTAATGTGTAAAGTTATATGCTCTAACGGTCAAAAATTATGTAGTGGTACCTGTGTTGACCCTAATTCTGACAGAAACAACTGCGGATATTGTGGTAACGCTATGTGTATTTACTTTTTCCTATTTTTTTTGCTAAAATTATTTTTCTATTTTTTAACTTCTTAATCATTTGGAGTGTCTAGGTGGTCAGACCTGTGTAAACGGTAAATGTACCTAATTCAACTTGTAGTAATACTAAGTGTGAACTAAGCTATGACAATGTAAAAAGTTATGGCAAACCAGTGTTCAGCATTGTGATTAGTGACATAGTTGGTCGTCTGCATATTGCTAATCGTTATATTTTTAACTAAGTTTCTTACTTTTACGCATTACTCATTACTCTTTGTCTAAACTTACAATAATTTAATTATTTGTAATTTTGTAATTAGTCGTTTAATAATTTAAAATAGTTTTATCTACAATTATTACTTTTACATGTTCTTTATTTGTTTGAGAATTGCTATATAACAGAGAAACTAGGCTTGTGATAGAGCTTCGATTCTATTTTTAAATGGTTATCCGAATTAAATCCGAGACATCCAAAAGAAATTTACCGATAATTATCGGCCGAATTCGATTACACAGCATATATAAATCAATATATATATATTTTTTAATTCGTCAAATATGATATTTTTAAAATAGCTAAAGAGAACTTAGAAGGCTTGTCAGTTCGAGTATTTGCCAAACACTTTGATGTTGCATATCTTCTGTGATCGAGTTTTCGAACAAATTTCAGAAATATGGCTGTGTTAAAGAATTACCGGCATTAATATAGTATATATAAATATATAAAAACTTTATTATTAAGACATCGTTAGCATATATTAATAAAATCTTGACCTCTTTTTTTCGAATCAGCTGTCAAACTCGATTGTATTTAATTTTATATAGTATCGGTATGTTTTTATTTGTATATCGATATCAATTAAACACTCGTTCGAAATATTAGCTGATTAACAGACTGCTGTAAGTTTGTCCAAACTTAGGCGAAATTATCTTGATATATAATTACCTATCTAAATCGATAATAATTTTTAATTTTAGTTTCTCTAAATTCATACAATCCAAATAAAAATTTTTATCGATTTTAGATAGGTAATTACTGAAATATCTTTACTCAAAAATTTACTTAGAATCTTTCGACCACATGATTCCGGAAGTTTTGGACTACGCCCTGACATTGTTACTTTGTCAATAGCTGATAGTGATATGGTGCAATTATAAATTGCTTAAATTTTCATTAGTACAGTAGTAAAATTTTTATATCGGTATTGCGTGACTTAGGATTTACGTAATCCTAATCTCGGATTGAAATCTTTTAATTTATTAATTTTAAATGATTATATATGTTTCTGATATACAGTAAAATTCAAATTTTTTCCCTTCCCAACCGTTGTCGCCTTAAATATAAGGCTGTTTATTTTTTAAAAAATCTTAGTGAACTCATCGGTCGTGTACAAATTTAATATAGTCCGAATTTCATAAATATACGAAATTTTTTTAAAGAAATTTGATGAATTTCTGCGCCAATTCAGAAGATTGATGCGCAAAAAAACACCTAGTATCGGCTCTGACCAGTCATTTGAACCAATGCCAATATGTTTTTTTTTCATAAGAATGAATAAAATAAAAGTTAAATAATTTATATACTTGAAAATGAATCTTATAATAATATGCTTAAATATAATATTTATGAACAAATGAAGGACTTAAAAGAATCATCATTTTCTACCACAGCAATGACAAGTACCAACAAGATCCCATACCAGAGATATTGTATACAATAAACAAGATAATACTGTAAAGAAAATACTAGTGTTGTAAAAGTTACACCTAGAAATATGAATATGAAAAATTAGTAAATATAATAAATAATCTTCAAGTAATACTAATAAAATATCAAAAAACAACATACCATCCATTAAGGCCACCAATAGGGCATGTATAATCTTTAATCAAGAAAACCATCAAAACACCGAAGCTTGCAGCAAATATAAAATCAAGCAGATGTAATGAAAGTCTTGGCATTTTCTGAGCTTTACCCCAACGGCGGAAACAATAATTTCCAAGAAAATAGAGAGAAACTATTATAGAAAGTCCTGATACAATATATAAAAATATAATTGCATAATGATTTGCATCCCCAAGTGGATCCCGTTTTGAAATCTATAATAAAAATAATGATAGTAAGCAAAAATGAAGATTTTATATAATAAAGATTTTATAAAATTTTCTAATATTTACCAATGGTGCGCCAATAATAAATCCAAGAGCTCCAGCACTAGCCAAAAGAATAAATAACCTGAAAAAAAATCTTTTCCCGCTGGGTATATGTTTCTTTTGTTCTTCAGTGGGTTGTAACTTTGAAGGATCAGAAGTCTCAATTCCAGGATTCACAGCGGATGCAAGATTTACCGATACATTATTATCTTCTTTATTTTCAATAGGTTCAGAGTTTGTTATGGTACTACTATTATACGTATCCTCTTTACCACCAGTATTACTGTAAGCATTCGTTCCAGGACCAGTGTTATAAGCATTTGCAGTGTTATAAGTATTTGTTCCATTGTCGACACTACTGTAAGCATTTGGAGCATAAGCATTCGTACCAGCACCGGTGCTATAAGCACTATACGTATTCAAGTTACCACCAGTATTACCATAAGTATTCACATTAGTACCGGTATTACCATAAGCATCCCCATCAAATGGGTTTGTTGAATTACTATTATAAGTGTTGAAATTTTGATTTTGATATGGGTTGTAGCTATGATCATATGCATTATTATAATTCATGTTCTGATTGAAATTTGTATTTTGATTATAATTTGGGTCATAAGTATTAGAAATACCACTACCACCACTACCACCACTTGGTGTCTGTGTATGACCAACCCCAGTAGGTTGATAAAATTGATTATTATCATAAGCGTTTAATTGTTGTTGATATTGAGTATTATATTGCCCATATTGCTCATGCGATGGAGTATAAGTTGACTGAGGATTCGCCCAAACATTATGAGAAGGATACAATTGAGTATCTTGAGGATTTTGTGAAGGATTCAGTTGAGTATCTTGTGAAGGATTCAGTTGAGTATCTTGTGTATTTTGAGGTAGATTTTTTTGTGGGTCATCGGTGGTCGAAAAATTTATATTTTGATTTTGGCCTGCCATTTTATTAACAATAATTTTAAATAATTTTAAAAAATGTCTATATATCGATATATATATTGTTTATTTATATTATCGCAGCACGTATTTACTAGTATTTTTAAATTCAAAGGCGGGCTATTTAACGTTAAATAAAAAATTTTTTTTTTAAAACACCCCGACCGGAAAAAGCGAGTTACACTAGCTAAAAAACATGAACGCAAGTCAATGGACTTTTTATATTTTTTTTATATTATTTGATTATTTATTATATTATATTAACTATATTGTTACTATTATGCAATTATGCAATAAACGTAATACACAGCCACCGGATGATCGAATGATTTGTTCACGTGACTTATCTTGTAAAACAGAATATATATTTCGATTTCTCTTTTTTCAAAGGATAGTAAAGACCTACATCTTGACATTAAAAATACAATTCTATTTGACTTTGGATACGAGATGGGCTTAGTTTTAATTCATAACCTATTAAATGCATACGTTGATCGGAAAATGTCTTAGGATCAGGGTTAGGATGAATATCAGGGTATAGTTTAGGCAACTATTATCTGCTGCACTCTCACGCAAGCATTAGTCTGAGACACAGCATATAACCTAGAATTTTTTTTAGATGTATGTACGTACTTTACAGTAATTGGGCAAAATTTTCGATTATTTTACGTATATATTTAATTTTTTTATTATTGTTATTATTATTTTGAATTACGCCAACTAAAAACTTTATTTAGTTCGTAGGGCTATTTTTGAACACAAACAAAAATAAAAGATGTATATATAACTATATTGTCATATGATTTAAAGCGTGACCGGATTAGTGATTTATTTGTATTAGTAGTAATGTGATTACGTAGGTAAAGTCAACAAGGTTGCTATCTGTTAATGGTAATTTAGTTACTGGTAAGTTACCCGTAAAATTTAATTAAATTACCAAATTATTATTAATTTGGCTAGCATTAAACCAAAAATGTCCAGGCAGAACTTGTAGTAACTTATGGTAGTTTATCAATAAATTTCTAATCTTTATAAAAAATACTGTATAGAAACTGTATAGAAAATCTTAATAGAACAAAAATAATATGTAATACGTACTATTTCAAACAATTTATGTATGCAAATATTTTTAATTTTCTTAAACGTAATTATATAAACTATACTAATCAAAAATACTACCAAAAATTAATTGCTTAATACTTATCCAATCTAATTGGTTATATTATTATACTGTGTTAAAGAAAAAAAAATAGATTTGTATTATTATACTATTCAAAATATTGCTATATATATAATTTGATATATATTTAATTATTACTATAACAAAACCAAATCTTCTAAATTATATAATGTTAATAAGAATAAATTATTTTAAAATTAATAATAATACTTATTTTTTTTTAATTTAAATATGTTACGCTGCAACTAAAAAAAAAAAATGACGTCTGTAAACAAAATATGTTAACTTTAAATGATATCCTATCAAAACGCCCTGTGGTTGATCATACGTATGTTTGTACGTAACGGTATGAAATCTTGTTAACAGTTAA